ACTGAGACATGTTCCCGGTCCGCAGCTGCAGAGATCGGGAAATGTCTCAGTGCCTGTGATTGGCCCTGCGCTCTGACAGCTTCCTGGCGGGCTCGGCACGAGGTGCTTGCGAACACGCCCAAGCCCATCACTATCTATGACCACTCATGCTGCCCGCAAACATGATAGGGAGCCTAATGACCAACTGAGGAAGCACTCATGGCATGCTGACAATGCTGCTGCTAATTGTGAGGCAGGAAGTATTGTTACTGGCAGGATTTCCAGGAAAGGAATGTTTCAACAGATTTACAAATAATTTAATTTATCATTTTTTTTATTTATAAAAATTATTGTTTATGTCAAATACACTAAAAAATAGATTTAGGGTTTACATACAGTTTAGGTTCAGTTTTCACATTTCAATTTGCAAATTTAGTTTTACCTGGCTGGGCACATAGGCTCTCCTGGTATTGAGGTTTTCAAATGGAGAGGGCCTGATGGCAGAACTGCGATATAGCTCATCTGTTGGGATGGAGTCATGACGGAAAAAGGAGTCATTGTTCTGTATGCTGCAATGATCTTCTTTGTTCATCTAAAGAGGAAACAGACATAGATCCATTATCTTTATATGTGTAATGTATGAAGATGCAGGCCGAAAGCAACGGAAATATACATGTAACATGAAATAGTAGAGGGCTGTATGATAACCACTGTGATCATTAGAACGCTATAATGTACAACTAACAACATAACATGCGCTCTTATTTTGCCATGCATGGACACAAACAATATCTGATCTGGTGATTCCACACACCCACTATGAAGCATACTTCTAATATGGGTCTTCACAACAGTGCACACTATCCCAGGAACTTGTTACTAAATCCTAAACTAATGTAAGAACAGACTTGTTCGCCAAGGGCCATGTCACAATTCTGTAGCAGCTACAAGTCTCTGCTTATTTTTCCTCCTGGTTTGTATCTGGATACAATTACTGCTGTATTTGACTACGATGCTTGTCTAGGCAGATTCAAATCACTAGTGTGCCACGATATTCAGAAGCTGCATTGGGTAATATGAGTAGCCACTGAAGCTGAAGATTCTCTAGCTCTAAATGCTGCAAAAAGTCAATCACTCACCGACTGAGCTACAAATTGCTTGGGATTTTAGCAACATGAACCTTTCATTGACCGAAATTCCTTTTTTCCAAGCAACAAAAGAGAGGTTCTGTAGCTGCTACAAAATCCCTAGCGTGACTAGGGTTACCAGGTCCTATTGCTGGATAACGTGTCCGCATTGTGTAAGGGATGCTGACATTTGCAGTGTATCAGTAGTTTGGTAAAGAATGCTACTGAATAAGGGGTTCAATGCACAAACTTTTCTAAAAAAAAAAACCAACAAAAAACACTTTGGGGGGAATTTATTAAAACTGGAGCCCATGGCAACCAATCAGCTTCTTCTTTCATTTGTTCAGATAAGATTTGAAAATGAAAGAGAGAAGCTGATTGGTTGCCATGCACAGCTGCTCCAGATTTTGTCTGCTACAGTTTTGATAAATCCCCCTCTATATATATATTCTTCTATCATATCAATTAATAAAAACTGGAGCAGACAAAATCTGTATGCTCAATTAAAGTGACATTAAACCCTCAGATTTTTTAACATAAAACAATACTGTAATGTGCACCTTACTGTAATACATGGTAGTTTCCCTTCTCTTTGATGCTCTTCCTTTTAAATCTGTATCTGTTCTCATGCTTGGAGAGAACTTCCCTTTTCAGCAGACTGCCTTGTCTCACACGGTGTCTGTGTATACGTTTCTATAGGCTGTAACCTGAGCCAGCACTACAGGAAGAGGCCCTGAGCTGAAAAGGGAAGTTCTCTCCAAGCATGAGAAAAGATACAGATTTAAAAGGAAGAGCATCAAAGAGAAGGGAAACAACCATGGATTACAGTAAGGCACACATTACAGTATTGTTTTATGTTAAAAAATCTGAGGGTTTAATGTTACTTTAAGCTTTGAAAATGAAAGAGAAATCCCTCCAATGTTAAGGCGGGTTCACACCATTAACAGCGCGTTGCACAGCAGTCAGGCTCTCGAACGCCCTGAATCGCATTCCAGCCGGCTTCCTGCATTCAGGGGCGTAGCCCGCAGTGCGATCACCTGCACCAGAATGAGTGGCATATCAGTGCCTGCGTTCCGGTCTTGTGCGATCTGCAAAAATAGTGCTTGCAGCATTTTTTGCAGATCGCACTGGACCGGAACCCAGGCACTGAGGTGCCATGTGTTCTGGTGCAGGAGATCGCACTGCGGGCGGGGGCGTGGCAGCGCTGCCATTGACTGCTCTGTAACACACTGTTTCTGGTGTGAACCGGCCTTTAGGATATCAAATGTCTCTTTATATTTAAAGTAATCCACCCAAAACATATATTTTAGTGGCACATAAAATCTCCTTCAAGAGAATGCAGTGAAGTGTTGCAGTCAGGGCTTGTTCACACCAGCCAATGCAGTCTCAACACGAGAACAAGGCAGTCTGCCTTATGCCCACTGACTTCAAAACACACCAATGTGCTGTGTTTGTGTGTGCTAAAAAAGATAGGAGATATTGTTATTTTTTGTGCAGTGTGTTCCAATTGAATTACATAGAAGTTTAAAAATAGGAAAAAAGCAAGCACTGCGTTTTTGCAGCACACTGCAGCGTGTGTTCGCACACCAGTAATATTTGCACAATAATGCGCAGTGTGAACGAGCCCTTAAAATGTAAATAAAAAGCTTGTTTGTTTTTTTTTTACTTTCTATGACAGGCTGGGGTGTCTCTGCTGGGAGTCATGGCTCCATCTCCTCTCTCTGTCCTTCACTTACCTTTCTTGCCAGTATGTCACGCAACAATGTTGCACAGTCACAGTTAGCAGAGGGAGGATGGATCTAGGGTCCTGCTTTGTGACTGGACATACCAATGTCCATCCAAAATGGAAATGTAAGAACTAAGTGGACTTGCCATTCAAGTTTCCCAATACATTTCTATATCGCTGATATCAGTGCTTCCGCTCTCATGGAGCCAGCTTCCCGGGCAAACAGGAAGCCGGCTCCATGTTGTTCGGCCTGCTCCATTGTGATTGGCTGGGAAACTGGCTTCCCAGCCAATCAGCATGGAGCTGGCTTCCTGGGCCAATCAGGAAGCCGGGCGTCAAGTAATGATCCGCCTCCCGGCTTCCTGATTGGCTGGGAAGCTGGCTCCATGCTGATTGGCTAGAAAGCCGGCTTCCCAGCCAATCAGCATGGAGCCGGCTGTTCGGTATCGGTGCAGCCCTAGTTAGAACCTCTGACAAGTCTTTTTCCTGTTTACTCATTGGGATTGCCTGGGCAAGGTATAGAAATAAGGCGTGGCCCCCGTCCACCCTCACTCCCTAATCTCCCACTGGGAAGTTAGGGTAGTCCCAGCTAGGAATTATACAGATGCAAGAACCTTCGGGTAGGAAACTCCCTAGGTTTTCTGCTTATATCATTGACTTATCAATAAGTTAAACAATGCTCACATCTCACCCCTACAATGTAGTTTAGTTAAGCATAACAGCAATAGAGCTTACATTGGAGTTGCATTGCTTTGGCTGTGTCCTAGGCATAAAAAATTCAATAAAGTTCTTGTTTATACCTATAAACTGCCTGGGGTGTGGCATCAGTTGAATTTGCTCTTTATGCCGTTGGCCATTATACAAAACTTGGTTAATAATCAAGATTTGCCATTTAATTATCGAACTGACCTGTGTACATTTAAAGAAAACTCTTTTTAGGACCTGGCTTTTTTAAACAGCTTCCCCTGATAGTGACTTAAAGAAATATTATTCAAACAGAAAGATTGGATGTGTTGTATTATCATAAAAATGATTTGCGGAGCTTGAACTCAAAGAGTCTCCCTTCCTGCATTCACTTCCTTTAAGGATTAAGAAGTTTTATCAACCTAAAATACTATGTAACTATCTACAATTATTTTTTTAGTGACTGGATAACAATTTTTTTAGTAACTGGAGGTGAACAATTACACACTTTTTTGAATTACCTTTCCAGTTTGAATTCAATCATCACATACTATATTGGCCTACATAGATATAAAAAAAAACTAAGAGTACCCAGGGAGATTTTTGAAAACAGATACAAAGAAAAATTGGGCCTTCATGATGAAAGCCGTTTTGTTTTTAAGCTGGTTATGCTCCTTCATAAATCGGGGTATTTCAGGCCTCCATCGGGTCATAGCCAGAGACCAATGGCTGTGTAGAATTTTTACCAGCATTGCTGTCATTCATACGCTATACTAAGACTAGGATGTATATAGAAACAAGCACGTACATTTTTTAATGCAGAGCCTACATGTACTCACTGTTGCATTAACGTACAGTACAGCAAGCTGTTCCTATACAAAGGCTGGATTGAGTAAATTCGAACAATTCAACTGACTTCATTGTTTAAGTGAGGACATTCCTTCTGCTGTAGGGTACTCCTCATTCATACAAAATGGGTCATACTGCAACGAATTCAACTACTAAGGACTAATCCTGAAAATGAATTCATTCGCTTTCTCCCCACAGAGCTGACAGTAGCTGGAAATGGGAGCAAGTCTCAATTCTGTGCAGTTGCAGGCAGTGTATGGAGCTGCAAGTGAGTGGGCAGAAGCATGCCAATGAAGACCCACTTTATAAACAAGGCAAAGTTACCATGGAAACACTCCACGGCGATAGAGCAAAAGACAAGAAAAAGAGAAAAACACAGGAGAAAGTATGAAAGAGGAAAAGGGTACAGAAATGCAGGGGCCAGAAGAAACCGTTCTATGTTATACAGTCTACAACATTTTTCTTCTCTCAACCACTCCTTTCCATCGTGTAGTGCTAAATTGCCTGAAATGGCTGTGAGGGTTTCCAGAACTGAGAAGCGGTGTTAGTCCGTTATAATCCAGTGGTGAGCAGTCTGCTATAACGCATAACCCCAGGCTTGTCCTTGCAAGCAACTGACTGAAAATTGAAAATCTTTTTCTAAAGACTATTTTTGCCTTGTGTCTTCTGTGTGAGTGTTTGGCACAAAATACACAGCATAAGATAAGGCTAAATGATTTGGAATAAACCAACCAACCTGCTTTGAAATTAGGACTTGCTACAGAAATGACCTTTGGTTCTATGATGTCCTGAACAGGATTTCAGCATGGCACACCAAGAAAAAAAGAATCAAATCTTGCTCACAACCCATTAACCACTGCCACCAATGTTGGCATCTCTGCTTCTTTACAAACTGCCTTGTCAACCTGGAACTTGCTTATGGGTGAAGTTGGACATCAAAACTTTTGCCGCTCCTGAAGGGTATCCATTATCAGGAACTGTGGACATTGACAAGGTATACAATTTCACTAGCACTCCAGGCATGTAATTGCTTCACACAAAGAAAGGGATCCTGCCAGGCCCCCGAAAGGTCTGTGCCATCTGTTCTTCACAATAAATTTGTGAGACACAAAAACGTGTCTGGAGACCTAGTGGCATTGTATCCCTTGATCTGGTTTTGGTGTGGCGCCATCTGACGCCATCACATCAAGCACCCACCTAGTTGAA